GGTATAAAACTCATACATCATGTAACGATTCCATATCATATCATACATGATGAATTTAATTGCAGAAATATTCCCAATATCATCCCATTCATGTGACTTTTAGCTCATCTAGTTCCACTGAGTCTTGCTAAACTTTTTGCTATATGATACGGTTGAAAGTCTCTACTAGAGTCTTTCTTGTTTGGCTTAGTTTTATACATATGGGTCGAAAGCCTTTTCAGGTCCTTCATGTTTAACACGGTAAATTTCCTCATTCAAACATTTTATTAAGTCCATTCAATAGATCTTAATTCCCACTGTGTACTAAGTGTCGTTTTAGCTTGGTCAATTAATGAATAATTCTATCAAATCTAAGCATTTAGCATTTGATAGTTATTTTACAATAGAGTTCGTAAACCTCTTACTGGACCTTATAAAATTGACTTTGGCTCCCACTAAACTTCTTTATTTAAAGAATTTCCATATTTCTCAACAAGCCAGACCTTATATTAACTTTATGAGAAAACCCATTCCAATTCCTACATGCTTCCCTCAATCCACCAATGGATTTCTTGAGCTTGCCTTCAAATCTAGCATTATTAAGATTTACAAAACCCTTAGACTATATCCATAGTCTCTTCCAAAATCCCATTTTTTAGGAAGGCGGTTTCGATATCTATTTTTCCATATTTCATATGCGCCATTTTTGCTAGAATAATCATGAAAAGACTTAAGTATTCTGATTAGAGAATAGGTTTTATTAAATCAACGCTGTGAATTTAATTGTAACCTTTTCAACCAATCTAGCTATGTATGTATATGCATTTCCATATTGTTAGTTTTTTACTTGAAAACTTATTTATGATTGATGTGTCTTTACCCTTCATGCAAATTAATCAAGTATCACACATAATTTTCAAACATGGAGTCTGTTTTGGATTTTATGGCCTCTATCCATTTCCGGAATTCGGATTTGTCGTAGCTATCTTACAAGACACTATTCCCTTACTATCCAATATTAAATAGTATACTTGTAAGTATTAGGTTCATTTCTAACTTAAGAAACTTTACAAGATTCAATCCAATCCTTTTGGTGAATTCTATACTTATACGGGGTAATTGCATCAAACACTAAGTCTCAAGGTACTTCTAAAGCCCTTTGATTGTTTTGATCTTACTGCAACACTTTAAAAGTTTTGTAAGTAATGAATTCTCTTTAAGGCACTTGTAAAGTCCTTTGAGTATTCTTGATCAATAATTCTCATGAAGCCTTTCTAAAGTCTTCCGAGATTCTCAGTTCTGGTTTGTTGCTCGTCTGTATGGTCATCGAGTTTATTTTCCTCCCACTTGTCGTTTTGGAAATTGTTACTTTTCAGAAAGACACCTCTTAGAGCAAAAATTACTATGTTCTCAATTTTAGTTGTGGAAGTAATGCCCTTAGTCTCACTTGAATGTTGCTTACAAAGAGACTTGTATATTATCTTTGGGTAAAAGTTCATTGTAAAACAAACAGTTAGCTCCCACTTGAGCTACCTTAGCCCTTATTGAGCCACTTAGCTCCATTGAGGCCAAAAGCCCTAGACATATACTTGAAAAGACGCTAGAAACTATTTATGTCCATCATTGAATATGGTGTCTTTTCTTAGCTTCGACAATTATTTTTAGTGTAAAATTAGTCATTTGTTCATATCCCTGAGAACGTTATAAGAAAAGGGATGTGATTCATCATCATTCGAGTCGTTTTCATATGGCTTCAAGGTCTCCGTCAAGATATACTATATTCTTTGTGGAGCTGATTATGAAATTCCAATTTCATAACCTTGAGATGATCACTCTTGGCTCAAGCAAACATCACTCGATCTAATCTAGACATTTTGATATCTTGCCAAGTCAATTCCATACTTCAATGAACTTTAGAGTTATTCAAGATCCAGTTTATTCACATTTGATGAATATAGCCATATTCTTTCAAGTTCTTGTGAAAACGGTGAAGTAATGGAATACTCTTTAGCTTTCGGAGTCAATTGTTTATACCAAGCACAATAGCTCCTTTCTTTGTCGGTTTCAATAAGTAAGACTTCCTTGCCTTAGAACGATTCCAAATTGATTAACTTTCAAGAGTCTATCTAATAGAGCTTTGAGTATGTTCTTCTTGATGTGACATTGCTAAAGATAGCCGGAACACAAATCATGTCCATGACTTGAACCTTGTGAATTTATGTTAGGGAAATGTTTGTTTATAATCAAGCATTCTTGACATATGGCCTAAACAACCTTGCCGTTCAAATAAAACCAACAACTATTGTTATTTTACTTTGAATGTGAGTCTTTTCGTGTGTAAACGGAACGTTTGCTAATTATGCAACACAATAATCATATTTTTTCCAGCCTTAGCTTTAAAAGATCTTTAAACAAAGCAGATGACCTTACAGCTCATATAGCACCACTTGCTTCATTCCAAGCTTGTAAGTCAATAACTTAGCTTAACTTCATTTGTTTTGAGTTCACTTTGGAAGTGGAACTTTCAAGCAATATCAAATACTTGTGAAGATAAGTTGCTAATTTTAACTACGATAACATGAACTCTTAGGTAGAATTGGAATCTTGAATTCCTTTTCATTGTTCCTTTTTTCCTATATTTCTTATCATACATTATCTCATAACTTTAAGAACCTTTTCTTTAAGTATTTTGACTTTTATACTTTTTTAGGCATAATCAAATATCTAATGCGCCGTAAAACAAAGTTCCATCTTTTTCTTTAATTCATACTTGAATTACTACATCAATGAGTCCTACTCATTAGTATATAAAGCGAAAAGATATGTTTGTTGTCAACTATTGACAATTTGAGTTTGCAACTCAATACTTCATGTTTATCAAAACTACCTAGTATTTTGAATACTTGATGTCCAACCGTCCTATCGAACTTAGCCATAAAAGTCATTTGTGAGAAGTTTTATTTTAGAAATGCCTCTTCTTTCCTTGAGAACCATTCTCACAAGATTTCCTTTTACCAATTGTTGGAAACATTATAATTTGATTTAGAATTTTACAAATATAAGAACAAAGTATAACCATTTATCAAGATAACACTGCAAACTAGCAATTTCAATTAACTTATTAACGTTCTATTCACACATTTATAAATTTGTCCCAATTAGACGAGAATAAAATGATTCCAAGATCCCAAAAATCAATAAGTGATTAAGCATGCTTTGGCTTGTTTTAAAACTTAATATTTTAAGGTAAGCAATCTAATTGCTAATAGCTCTAAGCTATTCTTGGTTCAATAAATCACCGCATCCAATGCATCCTTGACGATTATCTGCTTTGCCACGACATCTAAGGACTCCTTACTGATATCTTTGAGTTTAACCAAAACTAACGTGTATATGATGCCTTTCTTTAGCAAGCCCACCAACATACCTTACTTCCCTAGGAAAGTGGTAATGCCTTGCTTTGGCATAGTCCACTACCTACTTTCAAAGTTTCGGTAAGTGTCATTTTGGAATGGCAATTTTAACTCAATATTCTTTGGGATTTAGGGTTTCTATGTTGGTTGATTTAAGTGAACTAAATTAATCATTCAACAATCGAAATCCTAAACATGCATCTAATGTCGCAATTATATATAAGCAAAATATATAAGTCACAAATAAAAAATGCATTGGCAAACTAGCATGAGCCCCTTGAAACTTTGAAGCATCCAATCTTCAAAGTCCTTCATTGCATTTTCTTGGCTTCGTCTTCTTACAAACGCCGTATTAAGACATGACCACCAATTATGCAACTACTAGAAAAACTAGGACTAGGACTAATCTAAATAATTTAAGTACAAAAATACCTAACGGCACACAATCTGTATTTAGATTTATAAAAATACAAAACAGAACGCAGTCCGTATTTACTATCCTAGTTGTGCCATACTAGTTGCCATTTTGTAAAACCTGCATTAGAACATCTACTATATTCCATTCATCCATTCACTTCTAAAGTGAATGGCCCATGCATTTTATAAATAATTCAAACAATACAAAACATTGTATGGAGCGATTACTGGTTACTAACTTAGGTGGTTAATCCGATCAACACACCTAATTAAAACTAGTCAAGTTGTTTATCCGATTATGTGAACTAACGCAATAACAAAAGCACAAACAAGGCTTAATAAAGCTCAAAACGATTAATGAAGCTCCCACTAAATTCTACATTCAACTTAATTAAAATTAATTAAGCTGATCAATCAAAATTTTGTCAAAAATATTTTTGCAAGTACATGGAAAAATCGAGGCCTAGCCTCGTTTTACTTAAAACCGCAAAATAGCAAGCCCCCAAGGCCGAGTGCCTAGCATCCAAGACAAAGGGCTAGGGTTGCTAGGCACCCTAGCCAAAAAAAATTGAGTGCGGGTGTTGCCATGCACAGCTAGCAGCACATGGCACACCTGTTGGCACCAGCAGTCTCGCAGCATGCTTCGCATGCATGCACGCTACCAGCGTTGGCAACGTGATGTAATGCCTACTAGCGCTCGCAATGCTTGTTGCTTAGCAAACCTAGCCTTTATGGGCTGGCGCTGCTTGGCAGTGCTTGCGGGCAGCCTTGCCAGACCATATCTCGCATCTCTCTGCATCAGCTTGCACACATACGCACACCACTCACGCACCTGGCTCGGCAACAACCGCTAGGCGAAAATTGCTAATCAGCACCGGTTCAAAACCCCCATTTCGCACTGATTTTGAACCGGTTCTGATTTGAGGGATTCCAAATCCCAAGACTTTTCGCACCGGTTCTTGATGTTAACCGGTGCGAAAAAGTCCCCAAAAATATTAAAAAAACAAAACTTTTAGCACCGGTTCCTGCTGTGAACCAGTGCCTAAAGTGGCCCAAAAAAATTTAAAAAAAAAAACTTTTAACACTGGTTTTGAAAACCGGTGCTAAAAAATGCCCCAAAAAAATAAAAAAAAGAATTTTTTTTGTTTTGCATTTTGTTCACTTAAATTGATATATAAACACTAACATATATATATAAAGTTACATAAATTTACTTCTAATACTCCAAAAACCTGTGCTAATGAAGCATACAACTTCAACAATGCTCTTTGGCACTCATTTCATATACATTATAACCACATTAAAAGTAACATCAATGATAAATGGAATGAACAAATTAGTAAGATATTTGGATAAGAGGCAGCTGGGGAGTAAATCCTGATAACTATACAGAAGAGTATTGACAGTAGAAACAGTAGACATTATAGCCATATGAGGTCAGCTCGATTAGTTCCAGCAAAGAAACAGGCTTTGTTCTGGACTTTAGACAGAGCAGGATAGCTAGAGCATGCGCATTACGTAGGCTGTGGGCATCTGAATATTTGACTTTTCAAGTTTGCTGTGTGCTTTTAACAGCTACTTTACTAGACAGTTCCTTCTCAAGGTTTGTTGTGGAAATACTCTTAAGTTTTCAGGATCAAACCAGTCTTTTCGCATCTGCAGTATGAAGATAAAATTACATTACAAGGTGACAAGAAATACGTGCAGTAAAGAATGAAGAAATTAAGATTCATGTACATACAAAGTATAGGTAATCAAAATCACAAAAGTTTTCTGGAGCAAATTGCATAAATAAGTTGATGAAATAGAGAACGTAGCTTCCACATTCCTCATCATCCCTTTGTTGAGGCACCTGAAAATGGCATCATATATGCGTAAAGCAGATTAGGGTTGTTCCTGAATATAGATAAAACTATACAAGGTTCATATACTTCAATCAGGACTAAGATCACCTTAGGTATCAAGAGAGGAATTTGGGAAATCACATTCCTGTCTTCTTCTCTGCGCTCTACCCTATAGATGTCCTGAACAAACCTGAACCAAAGATAACCATTGAACGTAATATAATTAACTGGGTAAGCAAACCACCAAAAGTGTATTAAGGTCAGAATTCATGTGAATCACCCAATCACAATATGAATTTCAGTTTTCTTTGTCTTGATTAACAATGAAATTGGTTTCTTAACACAATAAATAGTCAAATTTAGCACAGTGGAATGTTTCATAAAGATTACAAGAAAATGATATGCTACAACAGGATTCAAATCCTAGAATGTATGAATTATTATATTACTCCCTCCGTCCCTTTATTAGAAGCCTATTTCTAATATTTATTACTCACATAATAAACAGAAATAGGCTTCTAATTTAGGGACGGAGGGAGTATAAATTACCAATACAAATATCAATACATTGGCAAGTATCCATGTAACCTAAACCACAAGATAACAACACATTATTCTTTTCTGAAAAAATAGAACAAACAAGTAAGAAGAGCAAATTTTGAAGTGAAATGCAGTAATTATAGAAACAAAAGTGAAGTATCATACTTTCTAATCTCAGGTTCAAGTCTCTTTGGCTCCGCATTCTCAAGTGAGTCCAGCAACAACATGCATGGGATTCTAGTTTTCGAGTAAGAACTATCATTAAAGTGGACAAATATCAAGAGGCTCCAGTGACTCCTAGTGAAATTAAAAAAGAAAAAGAAAAAGAAAAAAAAATATCAAGCGAGAGATGCAGTCAATGAAAAGAACCCAGATATAACATGGTATAGCAGCAAATTTCAATAGACAGCAGCAAATACCAACAAAAAACAGGAACAAACACATAATCCTTGGAGAAAATGCTTTTCTTTTTAATCCATGTCAGAACTTTAGGTCTAGTAGAAGCTTCTCGGTACAATGAAAACCATAGACTATCAAGATATGTAAATGACATCCTCTTCTCTTCTGACAAGCTCTTCCAAACCACCCTAAAAGTTGTAGAATAAGAATGCTAAATGGGCCAAAATTAAAGGAAAATTTATTATAAATGGAGTATTCAAAAGTTAATCTTACTTCATCTAATGCTCATATGTTTCAGTGCCTAGCTTCTTTCTTATCCTGGGGATAACATGACGGCCACCCATCAACTTGGAGCGCTTAGCATGGGAAAAAGTATCAAGAAAACAAGGTGAAGTGCCCTTAAACTTCTTCTTTATCTCCTTAAATTCTGTTAAAGTTATTTTCTTTTCAGTTTTATATTGAGTTGTGATAAGCCGTGTTTTGTGCATAATTGTTAACCTTTTTTTAGTTGTTCTTATTAGTCTAGCTTAGTATTCTAGTTTATTTTGGTTTGATTTGGTTTAGTTTCGATGATTCGATACTTTTATGGGTAGTTTCGTTGTTTTTGATGTATTTCAGGATTAACGAAGCTAATTTAGAGATTTTATGAAGTCATGAGACTAAACCGAGGCCCACGGACCTTCACGAAATTTGTTGGTCGAAGAACGAGTCACTTAGGCCTTTTTGGAGTCAAGCACGGCCATGTTTAAGAGAGGCACGCCCATGCCCAGCTTAGGCACGTCCGTGCCTGAGCCTCAGAAACTGAGGGAAATTCTCAGGAAGTGAGACACGTCCGTGTCTCATAGAGGCATGTCCGTGTCTCATAGAGGCACGTCCGTGTCTCTACTGCTGCCTTCGAATCTGCATATGAGGCACGTCTGTGCCCAATATAGGCACGTCCGTGCCTGGAGTCTAGAAGATGAGAAGAACCTTACTCGAAGTGAGGCACATCCGTGCCTCTTGTAAGCACGTCCGTGCCTCTTAGGAGGGTTATGCGCTAAATTTTCTTATGTTTTCTTATCTTTTTGTTGGGAGTATTTCGAGATCTAGCATTCCTTATTAGACCTAGTTTTCTCTTAAACTTTTACGTTGCTTTTATAATTTAAGATTCAAGTTCTACTTTTGCAATCTCCAATTATTTCAAGATTTGGTATTTTTCCTTTCATCCCTTATTTCTTAATTATGTTTTCTTTGATTATTTTTGCTATTGCTTTTTTCAATATGTGTGAGTAGCTTTTTATATTCCAAGATCTAGGGTAGCCTAATTGTGATTGATGCATGAATTGATTCTTTAAATTCTCAAATGACAATTGCGATTATTTATGCTAAATTGATTGTGATTATGCCAATACTAGATTAGAGATAATTAGTATTGTTATTATTCCATAGTTTTAATCACAACGAGAGTTGGGTTTTAACGGATTTGAGTAGATCAATTTAGGGTTTGAGATTCATCACGAGAGTAGTTAAATTGATAATTGGGAAGCGAAGTAAAGTGTTTAATGTCTCTAATTTGCATGATTCCATGAGAATAGGCTTGATTGTGGTTAGAGAAGCCATTGATACTCGAGAGAGGTCCTTGGTATTGATTAGGGTTTGCTTTTCCCCATGTTAATTGGATTTGTATGCTAGGGGTAGATAGATAATTGCATCGATCGTAATTGTGGTGATACTTGATCTTGGATGTTTTGGTTTATTGATTTGTCACATTCTTTAGATTTATTGATTTCTTTATATATTAGTTCTTAGAATATTTCACCATTGATTGTTACTTGCTTAGTGATAATTTGAGTCTATTTAATACCTTAGTCTCTTGGGATTCGATCCTTACTTGCCCGTCTACATAGTAGTGGTCTCGTTAGGTTACTTTTGTTAGGTACGCGACACGCCTATCAAATTTTGGCGCCCTTGCTGGGGACTAACGGTTTCTTTTTGATTATTTGTGATTCGTTTTTACTAAGCTTTATTCGTTGCTTCGGCTATTGTCTCTTGTGTTTTTTATACTCTTCCTTTAGTTCTTTGTTGCATGCAAATACGACGTTCAGGGTCAGACGATTTAGCACCTTTTGATTCTGAAATCGAAGCTACTGCAAGGAGACGAAGAGGTATAAGAAGAAGATATCAAAATACAAGTAAAATGACCGAAAGAATAAAATCTTTATTGGAGTACGGCATTCCTGTTACCGCAACCGAGCTCTTATCCAGCATTGTCAAACCACTTATTACCGCTTAGAGCTTTGAATTAAAACCTCAATTCATACAGTTCATCTCCAATGACTCATTTGCAGGCACACCTCACGAATGCCCTGTTAGTCACATAGACAGTTTCTTGGAGAAGTGTGACACCATAAAGCTCAACGGTGTTACTGATGATGCTATCAGACTTCGTTTGTTCCCTTTTTCACTACAGGATATAGCGAAGGAATGGTTACGAGACGAAGGTATAGGTTCCTTTGATACATGGGATAAGCTTGCCAAAGCTTTCTTAGTAAGATTTTTAGGGCAAGAGAAGACTGCAAGGTTAAGGAACGAGCTAGCTACCTTTCGTCAATATGATGATGAGTCTTTATATGAGGCATAGAGAAGATTCAAGCGCTTACAGAGACAATGCCCTCATCACGGTATCCCAGAGTGGATGTTGATCCAAACATTCTACAATGGTGTGACCCATGAGTTTTGCATATACATTGATGCTGCATCCAGGGGTTCTCTCATGACTAAGAACCCAACTAAAGCCAAAGAGCTAATTGAGAAGATGGCAGCCAATGATAATTATCATCCAGGAGGTCGACATAGTGTGAAGAAGGGAGGTAAATTAGATGTTGATGCTCTAAATCTTTTGACTAGCTCTGTGCAGGCATGCATTGACAAGCAAGTTTGACAGACTCCAAGCCAGAACATCTACTAGCTCACCGGAGACCTGTTAGATGTGCAGGGTCACATTGCACCTAATTGCCCCAAAAATTCCAGTGAGATGTCAATTGAGGAGGCCAATGCTTTCTACACCTCTAATCCTAAAAGGTCGTATGATCCTCATTCAAACACATATAATGAAGGGTGGAGAAATCATCCGGACTTCTCTTATATGAACACTCAAGCTCAATTGAATTCTCCGTCGCCACCACCTAGTTTTCAAGCAAGGGCATCTTTTAATCACCAACCCATGAATCAACAACTACCACCACAAACTTCAAAATACAATCTTGATTCCATTACGGAGACTTTCACTACTTCCCAACTTCGACAGCAAGAGCTTATGACAAAGCAATTTGAGCTACAAGCACAGCAAAATGAACACTTTGAAAGCTCGATTCAAATGCTTATTGCTCAAAATAAGAGGATAGAAACTCACCTTTCTCAACTTTCACAACAAGTGAGCCATTTATCAACTCTTCATGATCAAGCAAAAGTCCAAAAGGAACAATGCAATGCAGTTTTCTTGAGAAGAGATGAATTATTTTCGAGGAAAATAGATAAGAAAGTGTGCAGTGTGGAGTCAAGAAAAGATGAAAAGTGTGAGGATGTAAAAAGTCCCAAATATGTTGCTCCACCGACCTATGAGGAACCGATGCCCTTCCCGCAAAGGTTGCCAAAAGCCGTGCTCGATAAACATTTTGGAAAATATTGCGAGACTGATCTTAAAAAGGTACATGCTTCCATTCCTTTTTCTGATCTTTTAATTCAAATGCCTCAATTTGCAAAATTTGTGAAGGAAATTAAAGATCAACATGATGATAAGGAAGTAGTAAATGAGAAATGCTCTACTCTTTTACGTGATAGCCTACCACCTAAAATGCATGATCCTGGTAGTTTTACTATTCCATGTATGATAAACGAAATATTTTTTGACAGGGTTTTGTGTGATTTAGATGCTAGTGTAAATTTAATGCCTTGTTCATTATATGAAAAATTAGGTTTGCAAAAACTTAAACCTTCCCCTATTTCTCTTCTGATAGGACTGCTATACTCCCTAAGGGTGTGGTTGAGGATGTATTAGTTAAGGTTGGTAAACTTGTTTTTCCTGTTGATTTTGTTGTTATGGATATGAAAGAAGACCATAAGATCCCGATTATATTTGGTCGCTCATTCCTTGCCACAAGTCAAGCTCTAATAGATGTTCCTAAAAGACAAGTGACCATTAGGGCCCAGGATAAACAAGTAGTGTTTAAGCTCTTTAATGAACATAATTTTATATTTGATGGTGGTACTTGTTTAAGAATTGATGCTACTAACCCTTTGGTTGATAAGTGTGTATGTGATAGAAATCTTGTGAGAAACGAGGACAATATTTCACCAAATGATGTGTTTAGCTACATGAAAGTAAGTTCGGATACAAAGCATGTCAAATATAAAATGAAGGAGTCATTTGGAGGCGAATATTTTTATGGGCAACATCGCGGAGTTTCTTCTTTGTGTGGTGACCCAGGCTGAGCTAATAAAGAAGGTCAAGCTTAAGACCTTAAACAAGCGCTAAATGGGAGGCAATCCATTCCTTTTTATTTTATTTTACTTTTTTTTTTTTTCCTTTTACATTTTTATTTTCCTGTTTTGTTGGTGTCTAGAAAACAAACAAACAAAAAGGTCATCACCGCCCCAAGGGTTTGCTTTTCCCCATGTTAATTGGATTTGTATGCTAGGGGTAGATAGATAATTGCATCGATCGTAATTGTGGTGATACTTGATCTTGGATGTTTTGGTTCATTGTTTTATCACATTCTTTAGATTTATTGAGTTCTTTATATATTAGTTCTTAGAATATTTCACCATTGATTGTTACTTGCTTAGTGATAATTTGAGTCTATTTAATTAGGTGAACCTTAGTCTCTTAGGATTCGATCCTTACTTGCCCGTCTACATAGTAGTGGTCTCGTTAGGTTATTTTTGTTAGGTGCGCGACACGCCTATCAGATTTAGACGCCGTTGCCGGGGATCGAACCCGGGTCACCGCCCCGAGGTATGATTTTCCCCCTCCCGATTAGTAGACCTTTTTCTCTCTCCCCTTGTCCATTTTACACTGATTTATGCATACATTGAGGACAATGTATGGTTTAGCTTGGAGGAGGGTTCATTTTTCACCATGTATATATTAGTTTTTTTCTTAGTGTTTGGTTAGTTTTTCTTTCTTATTAGTGTCTTTGATATGCCATTACACGCTTATGCTTCTATGATAACGATCATACATGTGTGCTTTGTGAAAAGTTTTTTCTGAAACCCATTTACCAATTTGCTTGGAATTCAGTAGGTTTGTGGCTAGGATGGTCTCCCCGCTCTACTTATGTGAATAGTTTGTGTACCTGGTGAGATTTTTGAGCCATATTTGACTGATATCATTCTAACTCAGTCATACTTTTTCATGTGTGATTAGTTTTCCTTCATGTAATTGAATTCCAGGCTTTGCTCTTTGACTATTTGAGACTTGAATGATGCATGTTGCGGAAAAGTGATTGGAATTTCCCTTGTAGAGAATAGAGCCTCAACATTCTAGGTTCGCATAAATTTTATTTTTATTTTTTCATTCACCCGTAGGTTGAGCTACTTTGAGCCGTGTTTTCCCTTTTCTTGATACCCTAGATTTAAAGCCATAAAGCCGATATTGTAGGTTTCTTTTGAAGGAGCATTACACTTGTTTGAGCCCTATAAGTGACTAGTAGGGGAAAAAAAAAAAAAAAAAAAAAAAAGAGAAAGAGAAAAAAGAAGTTGAGTGTTATTGAAAAGAAAAAAAAAAAAAAAAAAAAGAACAGAAAAGAAAGAAAAGGAAGAGGAAAAAAAAAAAGGTTTTAAATTCCATATATCCATACCTCAAAACAAAGAGGAGTTCTAAAAGTCTTCCTAAATCGTAAAATGCTATAAATCCCTTCTTTTTTGCAAGTTTATAAAAGAGAGAGAAAAAAAATGTGTGATTGAAAAAAAAGGGCTATGCTTATATTGTATGAAGTTGGAGGAAATAAGGTTGGTTTGAACCCGATATTTGAATGTGTAGTGGGATTAGGATTTGTTATACTTTTGAGCACCACTTTCCTAAATAACGTCGTCCAACCCTCTATTAACCAAGCTTACCCTTTTTGGATTTCAAGATTTTCGCAATTACATCAATATTTGAAAGTGGAGAAAGTCACATTACAAGTATAAAGAGGACAATTCATGTGAAGTTGACATGCATTTTATGCCTAGGTTGAGTGATCTCATATTTCACCCCGTAAATACATGAGCGTTTATATGCTTTTATTTTTCACAACTAAAGTGAGAGCTATTCATGTTTGTGTGAGTTGGTTTGGGGAGATGTGTGGTAAGATGTTTGTCGATTCCAAGTATGAGAGGTTTATGGTGGTTTTATGCACATTGATTCTAATTTTTACTTTCCTATTGATTTCAAATGATGGCACATTATGATGATTTAAGAAGTTGTCTTGCTCTTCCCATGGTCGAATGCTCGAGGACAAGCATTAGTTTAGCTTGGGGGAGTTTGATAAGCCGTGTTTTGTGCATAATTGTTAGCCTTTTTTTAGTTGATCTTATTAGTCTAGCTTAGTATTTTAGTTTATTTTGGTTTGATTTGGTTTAGTTTCGATGATTCGATACTTTTATGGGTAGTTTCGTTGTTTTTGATGTATTTCAGGATTAACGAAGCTAATTTAGAGATTTTATTAAGTCATGAGACTAAACCGAGGCCCACGGACCTTCACGAAGCTCGTTGGTCGAAGAGCGAGTCACTTAGGCCTTTTTGGAGTTAAGCACGGCCATGTTTAAGAGAGGCACGCCCATGCCTAGCTTAGGCACGTCCGTGCCTGAGCCTCAGCTGAGGGAAATCTGCTGCTGCCTTCAAATCTGCATATGAGGCACGTCTGTGCCCAATATAGGCACGTCCGTGCCTGGAGTCCAGAAGATGAGAAGAACCTTACTCGAAGTGAGGCACGTCCGTGCCTTATGCGCTGAATTATCTTATGTTTCTTATCTTTTTGTTGGGAGTATAAATACCCCAGACTTTATTATATTTCGAGATCTAGCATTCCTTATTAGACCTAGTTTTCTCTAAAACTTTTACGTTGCTTTTGTAATTCAAGATTCAAGTTCTACTTTTGCAATCTCCATTTATTTCAAGATTTGGTATTTTCTTTTCATCCCTTATTTCTTAATTATGTTTTCTTTGATTATTTTTTCTATTGATTTTTTCAATATGTGTGAGTAGCTTTTTATATTCCAAGAACTAGGGTAGCTCAATTGTGATTGATGCATGAATTGATTCTTTAAATTCTCAAATGACAATTGCGATTATTTATGCTAAATTGATTGTGATTATGCCAATACTAGATTAGAGATAATTAGTATTGTTATTATTCCATAGTTTTAATCACAACGAGAGTTGGGTTTTAACGGATTTGAGTAGATCAATTTAGGGTTTGAGATTCATCACGAGAGTAGTTAAATTGATAATTGGGAAGCGAAGTAAAGTGTTTAATGTCTCTAATTTGCATGATTCCATGAGAATAGGCTTGATTGTGGTTAGAGAAGCCATTGATACTCGAGAGAGGTCCTTGGTATTGATTAGGGTTTGCTTTTCCCCATGTTAATTGGATTTGTATGCTAGGGGTAGATAGATAATTGCATCGATCGTAATTGTGGTGATACTTGATCTTGGATGTTTTGGTTTATTGATTTGTCACATTCTTTAGATTTATTGATTTCTTTATATATTAGTTCTTAGAATATTTCACCATTGATTGTTACTTGCTTAGTGATAATTTGAGTCTATTTAATTAGGTGAACCTTAGTCTCTTGGGATTCGATCCTTACTTGCCCGTCTACATAGTAGTGGTCTCGTTAGGTTACTTTTGTTAGGTACGCGACACGCCTATCAAGCTGCAGTTATGTGTAGCGAGCAGGAGCGATGCTTAGATATGTTATCTCCAAATAATCCGGCCAGGAAAAAAAAACGAGGGGGGGATCAGGATATATGTAAAGCATCTCTTTTGAAATGAATCATAGTACAACAAACTACCATCGAATAGAGTTATGAGAATAAGAATATGGAAAAGCTTTGAATAAATTCATGAAATAATACAACTATTTATAGTGCTATAAAAGAGTATTAAAGGCTAACAATGATACATGAAAATGGTGCGAAAGATTACAAACAATAATATCAAATCAAAGATATAACATAATATCCTAATATACCAAAGACTTCTATAGCTGAAAACATTGTATCTATAAACTAACTTATTAAAACTCACTAATATGAAGTACAACAATAAGTTGATCAAAAACATTCCTTTAGTAAAAAGTAAGACTTTGAAACTTAAAATTCTAAGAACAGTTTCTTGGCTACATATTAGACTTCAATATTTTGAGCACATCATGGTTAAAAATCTAGACAATTTGCATAATTAAGACCTTTAGATCCAACGGTGAAAGTAAAAAGGGGACAAGCAGTCCATATCAATTGCCAATTTTCATGTTCTATCTATATAATTATAGAACAGGTGATTGTTCTAAGCCTCCAAAGTCCAAAACTCCAACACAATAATTGCCAAAAAACAGAAAGATGGTAATCCGCAAGAATCTCTATCAATAACATTGTTTTAAGATATCAAAACCTAAAATTTCCTAAATTAATCACAACAAAAAAAATAAAAAAAAATCTAGGATTAATTACAAGAACACATTTTTTTCCAACCACTTTCTCTGTATTACTAGAATTAATCAGCATCACAGAGTTTTCTTTTCTTTCATTTTTATTTTATTTTTATAGATTTATCACTATTCACCAGTATAAATTTAATATCAATTTCATAAATGCAAACTAACTAGCTCAAATTTCAAGAAGAACTACCCAATTGCAAGAATTTAACACCAATTTCAGCTCAATAAGAAGGCAACAAAAAGAACATACAACCAGCAGCTTCAGCAATTACACACCTCAACTTGACGCTGTAACGATTGGATATAATTTATTGATCTCATCAAGTACCAATGCTTTGCCAATGACCTGAAACCCTGGTATTTGGTCAGGAATCAGGATATTGATCATGAACCTCTTCAAACATATTCGAAAAACTTAAAACACCACCAAATACCAAAAATCTTAGTATGATTTACAGTGTAACTAGATAAGTTGATAAGATGCAATAAGAGAAAAGTGGACCGAGAATTCAGTCCAATTAATACTCATGTTAATGGCAAAAATAAATATGACAGTTTATCAGCCCTTCAGATGATAACAATAATGACAACAGCAATACATGGAAAAATTGAAGTAGCAGGTGTCGAACCTTATTACACCCAGGGACAAGATCTTGTAGTATTCTCATCCTCTCACTAATCTTTTCTCTTCTAGCCTGCCAGCAAAAGAAAAAAAAAATCTGACATTTTATCAACTGTATCATATTCCTACATCTCTAACAGCAAATGGTTTACAGGAAAACGATAAATAC